CTTAGGCGACTGATATTTACCATTTCCACATTCACTTTCATAGCTGGTTTTGAATATGATCTTTTACTGTGAGTTTTTTTAATTAAACATTAAATTTTAGACTATTTTGAAATTTGTTAGTGCTACCTCTTTCCCATAAGCTGTGGATTTAATATAGCTTATTTACTTTGGTTGTGACAGAGTTCCCCAGCTTTATGTATCTAGAAGTGAACAATATATTCTAACTTAATAATAACCCTCCAGTAATGACAGGAGGCCTTTTAAAGAGCTGTTCATTCCACCTGCCTTAAAAGGAAAACAGCAAAAATAGTGTTCATCTTTCCATTGACTCTGGTGAGCTACATCCTTCTCTCTCAGCAAGCTGCTTCATTCTAGCACAGTGTCAAGGTACATGCAGATTTGTTTGGGGTTTTTTTTCTGGCACAGTTAATCACTTTGTTATTTGCACCAAAAATGGGTTGAGTGTGTTCTGTTTTCCTCAAAGGAGTTCTGAACAGAAAGGCATAAATTTGCACTGGAGTTTTCCCTCCATGTTGTCTTACATGAAGGCCCTTACAAAGTTGCAGAGCAAAACAACACTTTTTGCCATACTTGTACAACTGTTGGATTCTCCTTATGCTTTTTTGTCTTTGGAGCTTACACTAGAGAAGTTACTTGTATTAAAAAACAAATAGATACTTTTCTAATCCTTCTTTTATGTATTTTATAGTATTTATTTTAATAGAACCCCCTTTTGAAAAACAGATGGTTTTTTGTGGTCATTCTTGGTTTGGACTCCCCCAGGTAGGGACAGTCTTGATCTTCTACATAGAAAAACATGAATTATCTTATTTCTTGTATTAAAAAACAACCAACAAAAACAACAAAACTGAACAGCACACCAGCATGCTAACAGACCACTCTTTCTCAGTTCTTGTGACCTAAAGGGGACCTTGCTTGGACTGCAAAATTGTAGCATTGCCTAGATGTGGCCCCTTCCTTAGCATAAACAGGGGAGTGCCTGCCATACCCTCAAGAAATGTGCTAGAAAAGACCAATATCATCATCCAGCCTAGCCAAGCTGTGGGAGAAAGTAATCCCTGCTTCTAACTGTTCTTGCATTGAGTCTGTAAATCCTTCCCAGACTAAAAACAGGATCTTTTAGAAAAACATGCAGTCTTAATTCTAAACTGTCAGCCTACAGAAAATTCTTGGCAATAATAAGTAATTCTTCATATGTTGTTATTCTTGCTGTGTTAAATGTAACTCTTAACCCTTTCTTCAGTGAAAATACATACTTATCTGATATAATATAATGTTAATTAAAAAAAAAATATTTCAAACCTTTCAAAATTGTCAGCACCCTGGGTAGAAGCATGGAGTCTGGAAATGGATGAGCTATTCCAGTACAGATTATCTGTTCCAAACTTTCCATGAGAAAATTGTTAAAAGTTCTTGCATTTAACACAGCAAGAGTTACAAAAACTTCCATGAGAGTTTCTGTCTCTCTTCTTTTTCTGTCTTCCTAATTGGCAGGGTTGGGTTTTTTGTTTGGTTTGTTTTTTTTTTTTTAATTAACATTTCTCTTAAAAACCTGGTTTACCAGACTTTTCTAATATCCTTTTTTTTTTCCAACCATCTATGTGATTATCTCTTCTTTATCTTCATCATTCTTCTCTATGTTGGTATCATCATGAGGGTCTTCTCAGGGGTTGAGACTGCATCCTTTGTTTTCCATGTTCATGAAAACATTTTGATCAAATTTGGGATGAATCAGATTACTGCATGGCTCTTCTCTGTTTGGTCAGTTAACCAGTTTACAGCCTGTAAGCTGCTCTGGTATTTTTATATTGCTCAGAAAAACCTGGCCCAGAATGTCATCTGTGATTAACTCAAATATATTAAAGAAATCAGAGGTAACAGTGTTAATACATTTAATCACACTTGAGCTCATCAAACCTACCCTTTTGATTAAACCTGTTTTCCATAATGCCATGTGGAATGGCATTAATTACATGCTGGTGATTTGATTCTTCATTGATTGTCTCTGCAGCAGCCTTTCCATGAGTGTCTGGAAGAACCAAGAGCTTGTGTGACCTGATCTACATGCTTTAGTTTTACTTCTAAATACTGTCCATATCTGAGCTTTTATCCTAATTATTTTCCCATTTTCAAAGGCTTTTTTTTTTTAAATTTGTTCTTGTGTTTTGGGGCATCTCCTTTTCCAGTTTTTTTGTCTAAGGTATCAATGAACACATCCATCTATTTTACACAATAAATTAGAATATTTCATGAAAGTAACCACTTTTTTAATGAAAAAAAATTGCACTGGAGCTATTTTATTCCTAAGTTTTTATATGTTATTTTTATTTATTCTTGATATACTAATTTTTGATTTTACTTTTTTACAGTTGCAAATTTGAGGTTCTTCTTTCATATCATAATTTGGGTTTTTAAACTTAGAAATAAAATTTGGACTTAGAAGCTTCTTGAGTTTTAGCTTTCTTAACATATGTTCTCCCAATTAGAATGAGTTTTGACCAGTGAATTCCTCTACAAATGCTCCATGTGGCAATTCTGAAAGCTTTCTAAACTTGTCCCAACTAGCAGGTGGAGTTTTTCTGAAATTTCCTTTGACAGTTGCATATTGCAAAGCTCATATTAGCTTTCTAGCTATATAAAATTATTATTCATTTAATTATGGCATATACTTCTGGTTTTCAGCCAAACATTTAAGGCAAATTAAGTTGATTGAGAATTTCTGGGTGTCTATTTAGTTTATATTTTTTAAGTTCATTTGTTCATTGATAGATTAAGGTAGGAGTCTTCATGCATTAGGAAGAGATCTAGTATGGAATTTCTCCAAATTGTGTAACATATGTACCCAGTCTGATATTATTTTTTTTTTGGTTAGGAACTTTAAAGATGTTTTGCCCAATGGAACAGCTTGAATTCTTCCATTAAAAAAAAAAAAAAAAAAAAAAAAAAAGAAAGAAAGAAAAAAAGTCTGTTTCTCCTGTCTGACAGCTGTTTTCTTTTATCCTTTGACACAGCTCCAGAATGACTGACAATCTTTCTGGCAATTCATGTGTGTAGTGATTAACACACATACTTTCTAGGTCTGCATCTTCAGAATTTTCAGTAGCTCTGTAGACTCTGAAGATCCAGGTGTTTGCTGGAGACAAAATCCAAAATTAAGATTCCTCTAAGGTTAAAAACCCAAACCCAAATCCACATTACTTTATTTCTTTCTGGCCCTCCCTCACTTCCCTCACATTGTAATGGAAGTCAGCATCCTTACTAAGTTTGTAATATATTTGTTTTGTGTATCAAATTTATATAGTTTGTAATATTTGTTTTGTGTATCAAATTTTACTTGTGGCTTCATTAGGTATTTATTAATTTCCTGCCCAGGTCTCCTTTAATATGTTGTTGTGGTATTTTCTACCAACTTTTCATCCCTGAGGTGGCTGTGCTGACAATGGGTAGAGACTGGAAGAACTGAAAGAAACTTCTTCAGTGTTTTTCTTTAAAGCATTCAAAGGCTTTGACAGATGAGGAAATGACACTGAATAGACTTGTATGTTGTTATTTCTATTGAATATTTTGGAGTTCTAGGGAAAAATCAGAGTATTTAATCTTGATTATCATGGTTTGCAGTCCTGTTGTCTGGCTGTCCAGCTCTTTTTCCTGATAAATGGAGAGGAAGTGTTACTGCAGATGGCTGCAGAAATAGATGGAACTAGAGGGAAGTAGTAGGGGGCTCTCATGGCCCTAGTCCTTGTACAAATTTTTCTTGGCTTGTCTTTGTTCTTCTGGCCGATGTCTGCTGATCCTGGTAAATGCTGAAAGCTACAAAGTCTCTATATTAGAGTGTCCCCTGCAGTCACAATAGTTTTTATATAAAATGACTTATTTATTTAGTCTGATTGATTTTTAAGAAAATAAAAAATAACAATATCTTCTTTGCATCTTGAAAGGAGAAGAATGTTTATGTTCACAAGCTGGTACATACTTCTGCATTTTCCTTCTGTGGTTCTCTGATCTAGAGTGGTATTAAAGCTTGAGATTTTAATTTGTTTTTTTCAATTCTAGCAGCTAGGTTGTGAAGAAAAATGATGAATAGTATCAACTTGGAAGTAATTCTAGAGTTGACAGTCCCATGCACTAAAAATACTTCTATGTTTGACTTCTATGCAATGTAATCCCTGAAATGTTGATAGTTTTTAAAGATAACTATATTAAAGTAACAGTCCTTTGGCCTGACCTAGCTACAGCAGAGTATGTAAATTCAGTTTCTTCCCTACCTGAAGTACCATCATCAATCTGTCTGTGTGAGAAGAGCACTGAGATAGGGCACCTTCTGCTTCTAATCACTCCAGCTGTCGGCTGCCAACCTCCAAAGCAGGAAAGGAAAGCTAAGGGTGACCTAGGGAAAAAAAAAAAAAAGAGGGAGTGGTAGAGATGACCAGTCCTTGGAAAAATATTTAGTAGAGCAAGCTGACTTAAGAACTAAAACGAGCAGCCTCTGGAGACACTGCTAATCCTGCCTGGGGAGCTGAGTTACTGTAAAGACTGATTAGGAATCACCCACTGAAGTTACACCACTTCTCTGTTTTTCCCTGTGCCACCTGCAGGTTTGCACACCTGGAAACATCTGCTCACAGTCAGTAGTGATGTCACCTGTGTAGCAAGTCATGGTTCAAAAGATCAAGGCCTGGAAAATTATTTCTTACATAGAGTGAATATTTGGCTTTGGGTAGAGGAGTGCCATCTGACCTGGCTGGTAGTCTCAGGAGGTCAAAGAGCACAGAGCAAAACCTTGTGCTCACAGTGTAATGGGGCAGCAAGACAATGAAGCACTGCAGGGTCACTAAGTGCGTGTGACTTCACTGCAGTAGCTTGTTCCCTGCTCCCTTCCCCTGCATCTGGCAGCTGAAATGTTCCACCAGTCTTTAGCTATGTCTCTAGCAGGCTTTTTTTAACCCCTCTTTCTTTTTTTCTTTCTTTCTCCCAAAAAGCAAAGAATGGCAGATAACCAGGAGAGTCAGATGACCATTGAGGAGAGGAAACACCTGATTACAGCTCGAGAAGAAGCCTGGAAGTCCAAGGGGAAAGGAGCAGCCAATGACTCCACACAGTTCACTGTGGCTGGCCGAATGGTAAAAAAAGGTCAGTGATGAAATGATCCCAATATAAATAAGACACCTCTTATCTGTCTAGTCAAAATAAAGTCAGACTAAAGCAATGCAGAAACAGCATCTGTATTTAGCAAGAGGAAGACTGTTTATCTTCAACTGAGTAATTGTGTCATGAGGCTGTTCACTTTAGTTCATTGTGGGCGTGGTATTGATCCATTTTATTCTGCACTGTTGCACTGCCATCCACTTATCACTGGGTTCTGTCTGGCTGGTGGAAATCTACCACTTGAATAGGGATATATGTTTTGGTTTTCCTTCTAATACAACCCACAGGACATAGTTAGATTATTGTTTTTTACTTCCTTTGAAAACCCAGCTGCACTGTCTTGAGAATAGTTGTGAAATCGAGTTGTTTCTGTTGCTGGCATTTCCCCCACTCCTAGGATCACTGGGAATATTTAGCAAACAAGTATTGTCTTTATGGATGCTGTTTTGGACAACAGCTTGAAGTGTTATGTTTGGCTGAAGATTCCCTGGTTCTGCATAAAACCACAGAGTAGAAATGACAAGGGAGCAATGTTGACTTTTTTGGGATCTCTTGAATTCAGTCACTGTTTCCAGATCTAATCATTCTTCTGAAGTGGACAGGAGTCTCTGAAGGCTGTACATGGTAGGAATGCAGCTGTTCACACAGCATGCCTGGGAAGATGATAGCTTTGGGAAGAAGGCACCTAAAATGATCTTTTGTGCTTAATGACTACTAGGTTTTGGGTTGTTACAAGGACTTGGTTATTAAACACAACAACAATGAACCTTCAATTAAATTACAACCATGAATAAAGTTCACTGTAGGGCAAGGGCAATACTGCAACAGGAGTAAATGCTTGCAATCCAAGCCACAATCTGTTGGCAGAAAAACAGTCAAACAGTATCAGGAATTACCTCTGTTAGTAACATATTTTAGCTGCTGCTTACATTTTACATAGTTTTGCTGCTAGAAATGACAGTTGGTCACTATTTAAAGAGTAAACCTTTTTGGAGGGTCACTAAAAAAATCTGTTTAGTTGTCCACAGACCTGCTCTTTGAGTTTTGGGTTTTGGTTTTTTTTGGGGGTTTTTTTGCAAATAGATTGGTCTTTGGAAAAGAAAAGAAGGGAAAGAAGAGCATTTGCTCTTCTTAATAAGAAAAAAAAATTATCTTGCAAGGATCTCTTTAGGTGCTATGATGATTCTTTTGAAGAAGCAAGGTAATGCAATGATAATGAAATCAATAAAAGTAGCCCAAGTGGGATTTTAGTTAGATGTGTACTGATTTATATTCTCAAAGAATAAATTATCATTATGAGTTTTTAATTTAAGAGATTATGAGAAAGCAATGCAAAATAGCATCTTTGTTATATGCATGTGCACAGATGCTGTATTTTAATTGCTTCTTATGGCTGAAAATTATCCAGTCCTAATTGGAAGGTGATCCTTTCCTAAGCAGTTCTCAGTGTGGTCTTGTGGATTATGTACTGGTAGAGCTGCTTAAGAGCTATGTCCTCTTGAGTGTGTCTTGAGGAAGGCTTAACCCACTGACTTAAAACCTGCTGGAATGTTGAGTCTCTTAGGTAACAGAGAAAAAAAATTGCTTTTGGAAAATCTACCTAGTAATATAACCTAGTAATTTAACTTGAATTTAACAATTATGACAATTATATTGCACTACGACTTGCCGTAAAGATAGAGGAAACAAGTTTAGTATATGTTCTCCCAGCACAATATTGGTTTAATCTGATCAAAATAACTAAAGGCTTAAGCTTACATGGCTCAGTAATTAGTAAACTATGGCTAAGTGGAAAATAGATAATAGAGAACAGTGTAAATGTCTGTTTCTCCATTTACTGAAAGTCTAGGGAGCAAAAGTTAATAGGTACAATTGTTTGCCTCAATATGCTTTTCTACCTAATAAAACCCACGACTCCTATAGAGTGCAGTTCTCTTACTAGAGCAGTGTAGATTCACATGAAAGCTAAAACTAAAAAATCCATCCTTATTTTACCCACTGGGTCCAGAATGAATTGCTTTATGATAGTTACTGAAAAGGATGGAGGAGAGTACAACAAAAGGAGAGGGTAGTGCTTGATATGGTGGAGATTCTAACTTCCATTTCAAATTCAATTTTCATGTATACTTAAAAACCCAACAGGGCCCAAGAATTACTGTGAAATCCAGGGACAGCATTCACAAGTCAGATGAATCATGTATTAATAGAGATGTGCTTAAATTTAAAAAAGGGAGCAAGAGGGTGGTAGAGGTGAAGGTGCCTAGCAAGATCATGGTGACTTCCCTGCTAAACTTATCCTTTTTTTCAGAACACTTCCATATTTTTAAAATGTAGCTTGTGGTACAGCTGGAGCCCAAAATGTAGACCAAATAAACTGCTGCTACCTTGAAAAGGAGCAAAATTAATATATTCCAGAGACAGCCTATATCTTGTGTTAGCTTGCTAAGAGACACTCGGAAATGAAGCTTTGTTCTTGTGAATGGGGTGGTTTCTGATGCTACTGTTGATTAAAGGAGCAGGCAGGGCCCTCTGCCATCTCTAATACAATGGCTGGGGAAGTGTGCTGGCCTGTAGGAAGCAGCCAGGCTCATCTGCTTTCCCCAAATAGCCTCTCTGGCATCACTGTTGGAAGCACAGGCTGACTCATGGCTGCATTTCCTCTGTTCTGTGTCCCTGTGCAGGCCTGGCTTCTCCAAGTGCACTAACACCAGCAGCATCCCCTTTCCGGCAGAAGTCTACCACTCCAGTTACAAAGCCCTTGGAAGGTAAGGAATAAAAATGGCTGAAATATGTTCAGGCTTATTTACTTCCTGTCAATTAACAGGTTTTACTTTCTGGTTTGCTTAGAAATTGAAGCCAGGCCTGACATGCAGTTGGAATCAGATATGAAGCTTGACAAGTTGGAGTCATTCCTGGGAAGGCTGAATAACAAAGGTTGGTAGAGTTACGAAGGGTGGCAGTGTATCCACTCTCTGACTTTAGTAAATTGATTAAAGTGCCCCTTAGTTAAAATATCTGGTAGCAGAAACTGAATATTTCTTTGCTCAGACTGCAGTTACTGAAAATTTTATTTTTGTGATTCAGTCTTTGCTAAATTTTAAGGAAAGCCTTTCACAATTGTATTACAAGTGCGCAGTAGAATAAATCACAGATGCCTAAATAACTTTCTTAATTCTCTGGAAAGAGGGATGTACACATCCTCCTGTAGGGGAGAATTTCCTAAGAGCACACAGCCAGTCTGAACCATATTGCCATATACAGTGAAACATCTTTAAATGTAGTTGAGTCCTATTAAAATCAAAATAGGATACTAAGCTGCTCCCAAGCACAATTCATTCACTTTCCTGCTTTTTTGAAAATTGACTCTCTGTAGCAGCTCATCAGCTTCCCTGCACAGCCTGTTGGCTGTTTATGAAGCTCTCTAGAGTTGTCTGGTGTTTCCATCTCATACATCTGTCCTCCATTTGTAAGACAAAAATCTTTATTACATCTTTATGTAATTTGTAGTGTAACAGATACCATAAACAAATGTATTCACATTTCAGTACAGGAGGCACTAGCATAGAATAATGACTGTGCCACACTCACTAGTCTGAAGTAGTGACTTTTCCCCTTGTGATTCTAGATCTTTTCAAAGGCAGGAATTACACAGTTGGAGGCAAGATGGAATATACAAAACCCTAAAATGCTTACATCATCATACTATAGCAACTCATTTATAATGTCCAAGTTTTCATTTAGCCCTATTTCCCTACCATTTTGTATAATGGTTATTGCATATGAGTTACAGTTTGCTGTTTTAATATTCTTTATCAACACACTTTTCTACCATCAATTAAAGAACCTAACACACAAAAACCCCCAAAAAAATCAAAATACCACCACCACACTGAAAAAAAAATTACCCAGGCAACTACCAAATGTTGCAGACATCTTTTCACTAAAAATCCTTTCTTTAGGATTTTTCCTTCTGAGAAACTAAGAGGCCTCAGAGACAGAATGTAAACAATGGTTATCTGCTGCTGTGGAATGCAACAGCTCCACCTGTGGTTGGCTCATCTTGGATGTTTATAATTAATGGCCAATCAAGGACCGAGCTGTTTCAGACAGAGTCCAAGAGAGCTGCCTATGTCATCATTCTCTTCTTTTCTATTCTTAGCTTAGCTAGCTTCAGAAGAAACTTTTCCCTTCTTTTTCTTTCTAGTATAGTTATAGTGTAATATATATATATATATATATATATATATCATAAAATAATAAATCAAACCTTCTGAACATAGAGTCAACATTCTCATCTCTTCCCTCATCCAAGAACCCCTGTGACCACGGTCACAACAAACAAGCCATGTTTACCTTTTCTAGACTTAGAAACTCTAGTATGGTTATTTACTGGGTGAGGTGGTTTTTTCTTACAGTTGCTGGGATGCAAGAGACAGTGCTGACAGTTACAGGAAGATCTGTGAAAGAGGTGATGAAGCTGGATGATGATGAAACATTTTCCAAATTTTATCGCCATGTGGATTTCCCTTCCTCCTCAGTGCCTTTGGACTTTGATGAGGACTTCGATGCCATCTTTGATCCTTATGCACCAAAGTAAGAATTACTTTTCCCCCATTGTTTTGAATGCTGACACAAGGGCAGTGTTCAAAATGTTCAGCTCTAAGTCATCCTTGTTGGGCACGTTCATTTCTTCTGAAATCATGCTCCTGCCTGAATTGAGGAACTGATCCTGATTTCTTGTCATTGGATGATTCTCACTAGAAAAATTACCTGATGATTATAAACACTACTTGTTTTTCAGGTTGACATCTTCTGTAGCAGAGCACAAACGTGCAGTTAGGCCCACACGCAGAGTCCAGTCCTCAAGAAACCCCCTGAAAATGCTTGCAGCAAGACAAGATATCCTTCATGAATATACTGAACAAAGACTGAATGTTGCCTTTATGGAGTCAAAACGAATGAAAGTAGAAAAAAGTAAGCTAGCAGGATGATTTGTACAAGACACCATCTTGCCTTTGTAATTAAAAAAGAAAAAAAATCTCAATGCAAAAAACGGAACTGAAGGAATGGAATGTATTCTCTGAGTGGCAATAAATTGATTGAGGTATAAGGTGAAATGTAGACTGCATAGGAGACCTGGAGAGACGGGCATGTGTGATTCCCTCACGGAAAGCTACCTATAGCCACCTCCTGCACACAGATTTAATTTTTTATTTTTAGCACAATCACCTTGTGCAGAGAGAGAGAGCCACAATGGCTGCAGGGTGTGCAGGGTGAGGACAGGAGATCAAGGAAAGCAGATCCAACCTCATCGTGCTGGGGTGAGAGCTGGCAAGAGTAAATGAATTTTTGTTCAGAGGCATTGGCTTTAATTTTGGGTCCTAATTTTCTCTCAGAAAGTGAAATTAGTCTTCTTGACTCCTTCTGATTAATTTCCATAAAGGATCAGTGCTTCGTAGCAGGGCTTACAAGGTGTTTTACTTGTGAATTTGCTTTTTCCTGACAACCAGACAGACAGCAAAGACATCATTGTAAAATTTATTCAAAGATTTGTCCAGCCACTCTTACATATTGGGGTACAAGTTTTCCTTACTGCACTTGAGTAAAGAAAGATCATCTTTAACTATTGATTGTATTGATGAAAACACTAACTATATATGTAATACTTTGTTGCCATCTCATGAGAAGGATTTCCCTGAGTTATAAATTCAAAAAGTGTCTTGTCTTTGGTTGAGCAATAAACAAAAGTAGCCAAGAATCTGGACTGTAAGTTTACAGTAAAACCTGGCTAAGACTTTGAAATGTAAATGGATGTTGCATCACACTGTCTCAGCCAAATTTTAAGGGAATTACAGTTAATTAACCTTGTCTCTGTGCTGTCTTTTATTATTAATTACTTAAAAGGCATTGAAGATCTGCACAGTACTTCACAAAACATTGAGTAGGATGGTTCTAGCAAAGCTGGTATTCATGCCAAATAGCATAATTCCAACACTGACAGTGTACTCTTGCATATCTAGAAATTAAGATAATCCTAAACCTAGCAATCTTTTGGGGTAGTGGTTAATCTGCCTTTCCTGTTGCTATGGAGAAGAAGAAAAACTGGAAATAATGGGCAGAAATTATTTTCTTAATGCAACAACCAATTTTTTATTATATTTTTTTTAATTTTTCATCTGTCTGTCTTTCCTCCAATTTCTTTTTATGTACAAGTGTCTACAAATTCAAATTTCTCAGAAGTAGCACTTGCTGGCCTGGCAAGCAAAGAGAACTTCAGCAACATTAGCCTGCGGAGTGTTAATCTAACAGAGCAGAACTCTAACAACAGTGCTGTGCCATACAAGAAGCTAATGCTCCTGCAAATTAAAGGTATGCTGGAACTGCTTTTACTTTCCATAAATAATAGGCTGAATGTAACATGTGGGAGTCACTACCACATTTAGATGCTTAGCTTGTTCTAAATCTTCAGGATCCCAAAACCAGAAAAAAATAAGTGGTAATTGTGTAAAAAAAGTTAAATCTTATAAATAGGTTTGCATTGGCCCACTGGTGTGTGTTTCCCAAAGAAAAAACAGAATATTTCAGAATATTTCAATATAAATTCTGGCTATCCCCTGTGGAAATTTTTAACTGTCCTATTCTTCCAGTGCTCAATATAATTTGGAAATGATGTGACAGTGTTCTTGCTCCACTTCCCCTTACAGTGCATAGTAGCATATCTGATTCTGCAAATAGCTAGGTTTTGGAAAGAAAAATTCTTAAAATCCTAAATTCTTAAAACTTTTTACTGCCTAACTGCCTACAGAAATTGTGCTATGACTTCACTTAAGCAAATGTAAAAGGTTCTGGAATTTTGCTGCTGTCTGCCATTTACTTAATTCATTTCTTTCCAGAAGGACACAGAGTTGTTAAAGCAAGAACAGGAAATAATAGAAATATTAGTTGATAGGAGACAACATTTATTTTGTTTCCTGTGAGTAAACTTTTTTTCCACAGTAGTAGTCTTTTAATTATTCTTAGACAGTCTGTTTCCACATATTTTGCTAAACGTGCTGGGATTGTTTGTGTTTCATTCAAAACAAATTAGATTGTGGCATTTTATAGTAGTAGTTGAAGGAATATAATTAGCTTTGTTTTCTCTTTAGGAAGAAGACATGTTCAAACAAGATTAGTTGAACCAAGAGCCTCATCACTGAACAGCGGAGACTGTTTCCTGTTGTTAACTCCACATTTATGTTTCTTGTGGGTAGGAGAGTTTGCAAATGTCATAGAAAAAGCAAAGGTCAGTACTGTTGTGAGGTTTTATTTATTATTTATTTTTAGAACATTTGCAGTATATGTCTCTGATAAAATTGAGCCTTAGTGCCAATTCTCTCAAAAAGTGGCATGTAATTGATAGTCTGTGACAGGGAGATATGCAGGATTCCTGAAAATATGTTTTAGGTCATGCACTGAATGAAAGCTGGCATTTGTGAACTAGTGTGTAGTTTGTGAAGCTGCAAGAGAAAAAAGGATATCCTCAGGATACAGACTAAACTAAAAAAAAAAAATTAGTCTGAATTGCAGGATGTCCTTTTCATTCCCATGTCCACTGAGATCAGTATTGCTTTAAGGCAAATGAAAGAATGAATGCATTTATGTAAAATTTTTTTCTAGTGTCTGTTTATTTAGTGCAATAAATAATAACAATTTCTTCTGCTATTTGCTGTATTATATCTCATTTGCCTTCTCACTGAGCAAGAATATTGCACAAGTATTCCAAAGACTTAAGCAATCCTGTTCAGATAACTGTTAATCTCTTAGGCTTCAGAACTTGCAACTTTAATTCAGACAAAGAGGGAACTTGGCTGTAGAGCTTCTTATATACAGACTATAGAAGAAGGAATAAATACCCATACCCACGCAGCCAAAGACTTCTGGAAACTCCTTGGTGGACAGACAAATTACCAGTGTAAGCATTGTTATAGTTACAGTATCTGATGCTCTACCACAATAAAATAGTAGAGTTGGTTCTCTTTAGTAAAGATAGTTGGAGTTAATTTTTTTTTTGTTATTTTTGACAATCTTTCCCTTAAGCCGCTGGAAGTCCTGAAGAAGATGAAATGTACGAAGCCGCAATAATAGAAACAAATTGCATTTACCGCCTTGTAGAGGATAAACTCATTCCTGAGGATGACTACTGGGGAAAGGTGCCAAAATGTACCCTGCTACAACCAAAAGAGGTATTGTGCCACTAACTGCTCCTGTGGTAAGTGCAGGAACATGCAACTGGTAATGACTTGTAGTGACTGCAAATGCTCATGGAGAGGATAACTGAAAGCTGGGTCCTCTGTGTTTCTGAAAGGCTTCTGCACACTTTGCTGTCCAGAGTGTGCTGCAAGATCTCAAGAAATTAGTTCATATTATCTTCAAAGTAAAATACCATTTTAGGAAGTGTAAATCTTTTTTTGTCAACAGTGGCTTACCCCAGAGTCATGAAGCGCAAAACAAGTAGCACTTTGGAAAAACAAAACAAAATAAAACCTGCTTTTATTTCTATCCCTAGCTGACTTTTCCTCTTCCAACAACCATTTCACCCATCTAAGTCAGAATGAGAGCAAGTTTCTAAAATGAGGACATGATGCATTTTCTTGAAAGTATTGAAGTCACTGCCTTTTTGCCTATATTGTAAGTTCTGTTAGCCTTCCCTGGCTGTAGGACAAGGCATAGGTCTAAATGTCAGAGAAAGCTGCTGAAACTGGACAGCTATCAGTCATACAAAAGAACCAGATTTTTAGCAGTAAGAGCTCTCTAATCTGCTAGTGACTTCAGCCACCTAATGCACCTCAAAGCATTCCCCCTGCTTGCTTCCAGTCATCCTCAAAAACTGGACATCACAATGCAGACCACTGGCCTGTCCTTACTTGCATTGCAGGGCACCTTGTTACTGTCACTGCAGAAACTCATATTTGGAGGAGTTTCTGTTCAGCACAAGGAAACTGGAGGATCAGGGTACCACCTAACGTAATAGTAGGTTGATTTTTTTGTTGTTTTGTTTTGATTTTAGGTGCTGGTGTTTGATTTTGGCAGTGAAGTATATGTATGGCATGGAAAAGAAGTTACTTTAGCACAAAGAAAAGTGGCATTCCAGCTGGCAAAACACTTGTGGAATGGCACCTTTGACTACTCCAATTGTGATATCAATCCTCTAGACCCCGGAGAATGCAATCCCCTCATACCCAGGTATTGTAACTCAAATTAATCTCATTATAGATACATAGTTTTCTTGCCCTCTTTTCACAGTGTTTAATTTGATTCTATATCTTTTCTTCCCTTGCACAGAAAGGGACAAGGACGCCCAGACTGGGCTGTGTTTGGCAGACTCACAGAACATAACGAGACGATACTGTTCAAAGAAAAATTTCTTGATTGGACAGAACTGAAGAAACTCAATGAGAAGAATTCTAGTGAATCCCTTCACCAGAAGGTGCATATAATAAGCATGCTAGGTATTTCAAACTAGATGACTTAGTTGGGATGGCAGTCAGGGAAGTTTGTGCTCAAGGATCAAGAGCACATTTTTTGTCTTGTGGGCTTTGACCTAAGGGTCAGAACATAACCTCCTACAGTGAACCCACAGAGTTGTTTTATATTATTGTTATTTATAGATTGCAATATAACTATATCTTATGTGTTGTTTATATAGTATATATAATAATATGTTTATTGTTATTATTATTATTAATATATGAGCCAGGCAGCTCAATGAATACTGCTGAGGTGGCTCTGACAGGGCTTCAAATGATGACAAGATACTAAAGTACTGAAATACGCAGAAGTCAAAATGTTTGACTGGAACTGTGGGGCAAGGACAAAAAAATGCTGTGTTCAAAGAAATCCCTTCTCTGTGTTTTCTGACAGGAAGAATCCAGATCTGACTCTAAACCATATGATGTCATGCTAATGGTAGCTGTGCCTCAAACAACTGTAGGCACAGTCTTGGATGGAATGAATATTGGCCGGGGTTATGGACTGGTAGAAGGAGAAGATGGGAGGCAGTTTGAAATTATCACTGCCTCTGTGGATGTCTGGCATATCCTGGAATTCGATTATAGTAGACTGCCTAAGCAAAGCATAGGGCAGTTCCATGAGGGAGACACATACGTGGTGAAGTGGAAGTACATGGTGAGCACTACAGGTTAGTGAACAATTCCATTTCATCCTGCTGAAACATGCAGAAATGCAGCTAAAACTCTGCTGGTGGTGGTGACATCCAGACCTAGATTTCCATGGATGTGAGACAGTTTGAAAGGTTAGGGATGCTAATTTCACCTTTCTAGGCAGATAAAATGTAAAGTTTTGTATTTTATTTAAAAGAAAACAGTAGAAAATAAAGAAGTTGTAGTTATTATGTAGGTACACCAGATGTAATGCTTCCATCTCTGCTATTACCCACCATTGGTGGTGTACATGTTCACAGGACAGTTCATTAAGCCCACAGCTTAACACCAAAATAGTTAGGCAGCTGGACTAATGGCAGTGGTCTGAATGTCTCACAAAAGAGATAGGCTTAGCAACAAGAAAAACCTTTGCTGGTTATGGAGATCAATAACAATGACAGGAAAAGCCCTTGCCAGCTCATTGCCCTTGCTATCCCTTCTGCTGTTGCTGGAAATGCTTTGATCTGGATTTGAGGCTCAGCAGTGTTCTGACAAAGAGCCTGAGAGCAGCAGGCAAAGCCTGAGAACCAGTCAGTTCAATGAGCCCACTGGAACTCTCCCACTAAACTAAGAATAGGTGGTCTTTGTGGTAAGTTAAAAACAAATAGTCTAAAACTGATTGTTCCAAATAGAGTTTATTAAAGTCAGTTGAAAGCACATAACAGTTATACAGCTTCAGGCTTTTAGCCAAAAAAATGTAGGTAGGTCTTAGTCAGGATCATTGAGATCAGATACTGGTAAATCCAAGAAAAATACAAAAGCTTGTAAGTCTTGGGAGAAGTGGGTAACACTAGTACTGAACTGTAAACAGACTTCTAATCCAAATGGATGAAAACATATTCCATCACTCCAAAACAGAATAAATTTTTATGTAGGAGGCAGTACTTTTATGGGCTGAATGTACAGATAAGAATGAAACCCATAAATTTTAAAGTAAGTAGTGTTTTGAGTATTCTCAACTTGAAAAAAACAGGATGCTTTCTCTTAAGTGTTTCACTTGGATGCTGCTCAGCACTGCTGGAATCAAGGCAGATGTTTTAACATTTTTTTTTCAAATCTGTTTTAAAACTCTTGGGTTTTTTAAAATCTTTGATTTCATTCTAACTGTTTATTCTCTATTCACTGGAAAGACTGCAATATTCTGTAAGTGGTTGTGTTGTGAATTTCACTTGCTGTAAACATCATTTGCTTATCATAACAAGTAAATGCCGACTCTTAAGGAGAAAAAAAAAAGCAGCTCCTCTCCTGCTGCCAAAGAACAGTGTGTAATGTGGAAAATCAGCCATAATGCACTCTTCTGCTAACATTACTGGACAGGCCATTTCACATGCAAATTGGCTCAAATGCTGTCAGTTATTTTTCTCCAGATAGTAACAGGTCTTTCTACATCTCTTTCTCTAGCCAACACAGGCATCTCTGCCTGTGGGCTTACATCCACCTGAGGAGACAATGCCAGCTCTGCATGGGGACACTCTGGCTTGGAGACTTAATGTTCCTCCAATTGCACATTTTTTTCTTTCCTGTTCTGGATGGGATAGTGCTGAGCTGGCAAATGAGATGAAACCATGTGCTGTTTAAACCTATAGCCAGAATATTTTCTTCAGCATGTGCTCTCTGTTTCACAGTTGGAAGCAGACAAAAAGGAGAGCAACAAGTACGGGCTGTTGGAAAAGAGAAATGTGTGTATTTCTTTTGGCAAGGAAGGCACTCCACAGTGAGTGAGAAAGGAACATCAGCTCTCATGACAGTGGAACTTGATGAAGAGAGAGGAGCACAGGTGAGCTTCCTAGATGGCAGACCTGGTAAGATCTGCCTGTCTGGATAGCCATGAACAGTAAACAGGAATTATCTTCTTTGCCTCCTCCCTTTCTGTAAACGTGTTCTTGCCATTACAAATACAGACCTCAGAATTACTTTTGACATTATTCCAATTGCCAGAGACACGTAAGCTCCTTTATGGACTGTCATTCCCAAATGCTGCTTCTAAGGATATTTCTGAAAAAGGCTGAAGAAGGTCTTTTCTCCCTTCTCTGTGGGAATAGGTGAAGCACAGTTGCACAGATTGTTGCCATCCTTTCAAGTGCATGTTCAGATAGCAGGACTGTCTTCCTAGTGCTAAGGAGAAGCACTTTTTGCAGGCCAAGGCAAAAAAATACATTAGAAATTTTGAATTTGCTTACTCTGTAATTACATATTAATTGAATTGTTTGCAGAGATTTTAGGAAATGAAGGTGAAGCTGAGAGGACAGGCTAATTTGCTTTGTCTTTAGGCAGACTTGGGCTTTCCTGTGGCTTCAGTGTTACCAGCATACAAGATGGATGGTTTAAAGTTACTTTCTGTGCCTTGGTCCTGCTTTAATTAGACTTTTAACAGCAGCATAGAAATGACCAGAAAGACAGGAGTTCATAGAGGAGAAATATAAGGGCCCTTGATCAAGAGTGTGAGAGTCTCTGCAACATAGCTGATTAAGGAATTGGCTATATCAGTTTCATACTCCTTATGCAATGTTTAGTGAGCAAAGAACATGCATGTTATCATAGAAACCAGTTTTATAGCAAATTTTGAACCTACTTCAATTCCTGTGTTATCTCCATAATGGTTTCAGTGAACATCAGTCAAGGTGTACAGGTTCTGTAAATATTCATAAAATTCAAAAAATGCGTAGTTTAAACCAATTTAAATTAAAGTTCATTTGGTATTCCATTATCCTCTGAAACTCAATTGTTGGATTCCAGCTAGAGTTTCTTGTAATATGCAGGCCACATATGGAACCCATTGCATGCTGATATATGGTAATTTAAACAATAGTCAGCAGTTGTAAAGTAGAAGGAAAGCCATCTTTGTGGGTGGCCATAACTATATAATTTTTAATAATCCATAGAGACCAGTTTTCCTGAGTCTGTATACTTCTTTTATTTTTTTAATGAAGAGTGGTGCTTTCAATTTCCAGGTACAAGTCCTTCAAGGGAAAGAACCACCGTGCTTCTTGCAGTGTTTCCAAGGAGGGATGATTGTGCATGCTGGAAGAAGGGAAGAGGAAGAAGAAAATGCACAAAGTAAATTATTGTTAGTTAAGAGTTTCTGCCCCAAAATCCTTTTTTAGCTGTTGTGGAGAGCTTTGTATTCAGCCTCAACTACCCTACTCTGTAGAAAAGAAAAATTAATGCCATGAAACTCTTGAGACAGCTTTGCAATGCTTTGTTTCAAGGTAGCCTTTTTCTTCTTTGAGCAGAGAATGGATTTTGGCACCCTAGAGCATGTTGACTTGATTGTATTGATGGACATAGAATTTTCTTAGTTTGATTTTACTTAAGCCAAGTGCCCATTTGCTTTGAAGTATGTCCTACACAGTCTGGGGAAGAAGAGTGTTTTTATGAGCAGTTCTTCTGCTCCAAAGAAAGCTCTAAGCTTTTATTACCCAGTCATTGCTTTTTGTAACATATTCCTTGAATGCAGTAGTTGAGGTAGGAGAATTTCAATGGAAGTGTAGCTTGGAGATGCTCCAGTTTTCACTTGACTGTGACCTTATGTTCCTAAGGTGCAGAGGGGAAAAGGAGCTGAATAGGAGGAATACTGTGTTTGTTTCCCTTCTTCACCATATGAAACAGCAGAACTTGACTCTTCTGCTCTGTTAAGCTCTTCAGCTCTCAATATTTGTGCTCTTGTAGCAAGGTTTTAGAAGGCATCTCTTATGCACAGGGTTTCTGAAGTAACGTTAGCCAAACCCGGTGCTTAGCTAGTTCATTCTATCACAATGTAGGCATGCAGTAGGTGAAATTCATCCAGTATGAGAACAACTGGTCCAGAGCAGAGGTTTGTAATTTTCAGTCCCATGTGATTTTATAATAGTGCTGCTCTGTTCCTGTCTGCTCCAGGTGATTGGAGGCTTTATTGCGTGCGAGGAGAAGTTCCCAATGAAGGAAACTTACTTGAAGTAGCATGTCACTGCAGCAGCCTGCGTTCCAGGACATCCATGATTGTCCTCAATATCAACAAAGCTCTCATCTACCTGTGGCATGGCTGCAAAGCACAGGCTCACACCAAGGATGTAGGAAGAACAGCAGCCAATAAAATAAAAGAACAGTGAGTGTCTGATCTATATTTTGGAGATGATTATATCGACTACCGATTTACTTGAAGCAATCTTACTCAAAGAAAATTCGAAATAAATAAAGCTGTCCTCTAAGTACACATGCAGCATGTGCATGCTTCGTCAGGAGGAGGAGTGAAGGCTGGTTGGTTTGGTAGAGTGGAGAAAATTCATATCCTGTAATTGCTTTCACTGGAGGTCAAATGTATTTATTAATAAACTCATAGAATGGTTGGAAGGGACCTTAAAGATCATCTAACTCCAATCTCCCTGCCATGGGCAGAGATACCTTCCACTAGACCAGATTGCTCAAAGCCCCATGCAACCTGGCCTTGAACCCTTCCAGGGATTGGGCACCTACAGTCTTCCTACTGTACTAATTACAGTTAAAACAAAGTCGTTTTCCATTTGGAGTGAGATGCCAAACAACTGAAAAGCAAATCAAAGCACATTTAATAGGAGGATTAGAATCCAGCCTTGTGAGTAAGGAAGGGGAAATTAACTTGGGAAAGCATGCAAGGAGGACATCAGCCATTACAAAAGCAGGCAGTGACAATCCCTACTGAGAACTCCTGTGAGCATCTCCTTCACTCTGGGAATGGGATCCAAATGCTAGAAGAATAGCTGTTGAAATTCCCTGTCTGGTTTTTGGATAATTTTTCAAAGTGCTTGTGTTGGCCTGAAGTGTGCAACAAGCCTGTAAGGTACTTTTGGGGTCCACTAATGCAAGTGGCCAGCAGGTTTGTGTGTTAGCTGTGTTTGGGGCAGGAGCAATATAAGTCCACTCTCTCTTTGTGTTTTATAGGTGTCCACTGGAGGCAGGGCTGCACAGCAGCAGCAAGGTGACGATTCATGAATGTGATGAAGGATCAGAGCCCTTGGGATTCTGGGACGCCTTGGGGAGGAGAGATCGGAAGGCCTATGACTGCATGTTGCAAGGTAGAGCTGCCTTCCTGGATTTGGCACTCACATTTTACTCTACTAGTCTGCAGTGTTGTCAGATATAATGTAATGTTTTTGAAGAATTTTTTAGTATTTGAGTTCTTCAGAGAAATGCTTCCAAAAGTCTTACTGAGTTAAGTAATACTGTTCTAGAAGGAAAGTACTGGAAAAACCAAATGTTTCATTTTGTTCTCCCCCGCTTCTGCTGCCCCTCTGTATTCAGGCAGCACAGAGCAATAGTTAACACTGTTACAAATATATTTTGCTTCTCTTCTGAAGGGATTTAAGAGGCAGTTCTCCTCACATTCCTGTCCAGCCTTTGCTTTGAAACTGCCAACAAAGGTAGCAGGGGAATTGATTTGCCAAGTGGAAAATTTGTCAGCTAACTCTGTGATGGGCTTGCTTCACTTAAGCTGCAGAACAGCGGGTTATGAAATGGCTGATAGTAACTAACCAGGATCAGATTCAGACTGATGGCAGCCAGCCCCTCAGCTCGACTTCTTTACAGCTGTTGCTAGTCCCTCAAGACATCTGGTTGTCTTTCCTGATTATTCAAAACCCAGGAAATTTACAGTCATTTTTAAAGTGAATTGTTAGTTTTTACAATTAAGTCTTAACATTTTTTGTTGTGACTCTTCTTAATTTTTGTTCTTTAAAGATCCTGGAAAGTTTAATTTCACACCCCGCCTGTTCAGCCTCAGTAGTTCATCAGGAGAATTCTCAGCCACTGAGTATGTTTACCCTTCAAGAGACCCTGCTGTCATCAATTCCATGCCATTCTTGCAAGAGGATCTTTACACTGCCCCACAGCCAGGTATGTGCTTTAAAATACTTAGGTAACAAGAAAACAGATGACTGTATCCTGCATTGGGCAGTGTCTTAGTGATTGTAAGCACTTCTAACTTGATATATCACAGGAAAATGTGTGCATGTGATGCTTATACAGTACTAAGCAGCAACAGTAATTTTTCCATTATGAAGATGCTGAAAAATAATCAAGTGTATGTATGTATGCCAGAAGCTTGCTGTAAAAATACATTATTTATATCAGAGAATCAAAGTCCAGCTGAAGTTTAGCTGGATAATTAAAAAAAGGAATTGGTAAGATGTGAAATGATCCTGTTGTGATGCTGGCAAGCACATAAGACTGGGGTTGTTCAGGGGATTACAAAAACTAGTAAGTGGCTAATGATGGATTTGCTATTTTCTGACTGTGTAGCACTCTTCCTTGTTGACAATCACCATGAAGTGTACCTGTGGCAAGGCTGGTGGCCTGTGGAGAACAAAATCACTGGATCAGCTCGAATCAGGTGGGCTACAGACAGGAAATGCGCCATGGAGACGGTGCTGCGGTACTGCAAAGGTAACAGACTGCTGTGCCTGCTCTGTGTGTCACACCTGTCCATGCCTTCTGTGCTGAGCTGAAAGCTGCTCCCCCAATGTTATCAATAAACACCAGTTCTTTGAAGATACATTCCCCACTCTTTCTTAGCAAACCACTTGTCTAGGAACAGCGTTGTTCCCAAATTGCCAAGATACTCTATTGACTCTGCTCTCAGTGGAAAGGCTTTATTTATTGTGTTACATCTCAGAATCACAAGTTAACAGTTTAAACATTCTCACTTAAGCCTCCAAGCTTAAGCTTAGTTGGTTCTTGGCAGGACACTTCTGCTGAGCATACCAGAAGGTTACATTTACCTGAATTTGGCTTATTTCAGAGCATCACACTCTGCTTACTCTATTCTAAGTCTGCTTTTGTAAGATAAAAAAGGCATTTGGTTAGAAGTAGCTGTTGGGATTTTCAGCATATATGTTTTAATCTTTGCAGTCAGATACAGTAAAAGACAGGTGTAAAAATACTGAAAATCATGTTAAAAGGTCCCATATTAATTAAAAAGAATTTCTGGAAAATTTATTCTTTCTGCCTTAAGCTGCTTCAGCTTTTCAGGAAAAATTATATACCCTTAGGAGGTAAATCTGAATAGTGTGTGAGATTGCAAAATACTGTACCTCTTGTAATTTCTCCCTCCTTTTTTTTTTGTATTTTGACTGTCTTTAGGAAAAAATGTGAAGAAGCCCCCCAAATCCTATTTAATTCATGCTGGCCTAGAGCCTCTGACATTCACTAACATGTTCCCAAGTTGGGAGCACAGGGAAGACATCGCAGAGATCACAGAAATGGTAAATATTTTCATTGCATAATCTGTTTCCTATTGCTAGTAATTGTGCCTTGTGTTGTCAGTAACATTGGTTGCTTCCACCCACAAGCCCCAAGATCCAGAAGAGAAACTTAGAAAGCACAGTTCAGGAGTCTGCATAGGAAAAGAAAAAACCAACACCACAGCTAAATTCTGACTGGGAATGTGTATATCAGAGGCATTGCTTTTTTATTTTTCATGTAACTTCTCATATTTGGTTTTTTTTGTTAAAAACCGAAGGAAAGTGTTACCTGAATCATCTCTTAGAAAGAGATGTGCTGGAGTTTGAGCTTAACAGAATAGCTGCTTCAGTCATGCAGCAATGTGCAGTTCTGGTCTGTTCCCCAGATTTGAAGTGCACAGGAACAAAACACTTTTCAAAGGATCAGCTGTCTCCAAAGGCTTTGTTACTGACTTCCTCACCTGGGATTCAGAGTCACAGCCAAATTACATGTGGCTGCTTTAAATCTTTCAGTCAAAGGGCATCTCAACACAAATGACATTTTGTTTTGTAAGTTTTCTACAGACATCCTTAGTAGAAAATGCTGGCTTCATGACTAAAAACAGATCTCAGCCTTAAACTGAGATTCTGGGAGAACAGGATTTCCTTCTGCTAAGTGCAGACCTGTTTTTAGCTGTGAAATTTTTGTAGGGCAGCTCTGTTGGCCTGTGGGCACACCTGTACATACAGCTTTGTGCTCAGGCAGGGCAGGTTATCCCATGCTATCTGCAGATGGCCATGGGCACAGCTGATGCTTTCAGCATTGTGATCCTGTTCTCTGTTTTCTCCTTTCAGGACGCTGAGGTTTCTAATCAGATAATACTCGTAGAGGACGTGCTGGCCAAGCTGTGTAAAACAGTGTATCCATTAGCAGATCTCTTAGCTAGGCCTCTGCCTGAGGGAGTTGATCCACTGAAGCTTGAAATTTACCTTTCAGATAAGGACTTTGAGGTAAGGAGAGGATAGGTGCACTGTTACTCTGTGCATCTATGCCTAACCATGCAAGAAGATAATTTGCTGGTTGTGCTGCTCATCAGTTGTTTTTGCTAATAGTACATCCTTTCATTTTAAATGCAGGTTGCATTAGAGATGACAAGAGAGGAGTACAATGCACTGCCATCTTGGAAGCAAGTTAACCTGAAGAAGGCAAAAGGACTTTTCTGAGCTGGGTTTATGGAAGTGAGCACTAAAGGGATGTCCACTCTCACTTTCTATGTCCTTTAGAAGAATTGTACCCTACATTTACAGAACAAATAAAAATAATCTGAAGTTATTAGTGACTACCTATCTGGAGGTGTGTAATATTATAATAAAAGGCCAAGAGAACTCTTTGAAAATGGAATTCAATTTTGACTCTTAAAGGTAATGTTTTTAAGCTCCGTTCTCCTATGCACTTAAACAGTAGTTTCTTGAGCTACTGCTGCAGGTGTCCTTTGGCTATATCCAATACTTGCCATTTTTGTTTTTAAAGAAGTTCTCTTTGTAAAGTGTTATTTTGTTAGTTTGTGGATTACAAAGAATTTATATTTATATAAACACATAGAACAAGTATGTATTTAACAATGCAATATGTATTCACTTTCAAGACTTCCATGTCAAAACTCCAGAAAAGTAGCTGGATGGCAGTTGCTTGTACTGAATTAGCTATACCACCAATATGTATCTCCTTTGCATTCTGAAAAGTTTCTCTTTGCAATAGTTAATGAATTGTTCTCAGTGCTGCTTCAGGTGCTAAACTGAACAAAGCATTTGTATTTATAGCATGGATTTCTTGAGAAACTATGCGAATCAACCTTTATACTTTATTATCCAAAAATGTATAGTGCCTTGTTTTTTGTGTACAGTTTATATACAAAAAAAAAAGATTGGTCTGCATTTTGAAGATGGCTTAGAATGGTCTCCTATGTTACTTTTATAATAGTAGAAATAAAAACATCTCAATTTCTAATCCTTGTTGTAAACATTAAACATGTCTTTTGTGATATAAGAACCGAAAGTAAAAGCTTCTGAATAAACTCTTAGCGATGCTCTGACTTGTCATTAATTTGTACTGTAATCTGTACTAGCATTGGAACCTCCCATAACATAGTATTTTCTCAAAATATTTTAACCTTTGATGTCTGTGGGTATTGTACAGAGTTATAATTTGAGAAGCAGATAATGTAGAAAATAATCAATGTATGAGATAAAGTTGGGCAAAACTTTAATGCTGAATGTTGGAACCTGTCAGTCACACAACTCTGTATTCTTTGGGTTTCCCTGTTTTATATATGAAACCAAAATTATTATGCTGGTTTTCAAAATTTGAAAAAATCTTTTCAACCTTTGTGCAATTGGGAGTAAAATTTGAATTGAAAATGAGCGTTGTGTCTATTCTTTACTCAGTTAATTAGGACATTGAATAGAATCTTTGAGTAAATATTTGCTTATGGTTTGAAATGTTTTTCAGGAATTGGCATTTCAATAATAAGCTGTGGGGTTCTCCTCTGTATCCTAGTGGGGTTCACATTTTCATTACTGTCTGCATAGCTTTCCTTCTGCCCTGCAACCATTTAGAGCTGCTCGTGGTGATATCTCAGGTTTTAGCTTTTCTTGGGGTGGTGCCTGTTGCTGCTATTGTCATTCTCCTAGGCCAAGAGACTTGAAGTGGGATTTCTGAATGTGTGAGGTGTGGATTTCTGCAAGATCTGCAATAAGAATTGCTTCACCGTTAAAGTGAATCTTGTTTTGACAGATGGACTGGTGAGTTGTAACCAAGCCTTTAAGTAAACGAATTAAAAATGTAGAAATATGCAAGTACTATTCACCTGATGTGAGATATTACAGGTGAATTTTCAGCAGTGGAGTATTTCCGTTCACGTATGGGTTTCTGTCAAGAACTGAAATGAAATAACCCAAGAAAATGTTAGGAGCAGTATTCAGAGCCAGAATGCTTCTTACATACATGCCAGCAAAAAGCTGTTTAGATGCCAGTTCCTCGGAGGTCCTCAGCTGCATGTGATACACTGTTAGTTTGAAAATGCAGGGCTTTACAGCGACAAATTTATTTTTCAAGCACTGAGAGGTTTCTAAAGTCACTGCTGTATTCATCTAAGCATTTCTGCACCCATATATTTTCCTCTTTCACCCTCCCTGGTGATAAAATCAAGCAGGAATTAGGTTTTGATTATTCATGTTCAGTCTGTACCATGAGGGTAGCAGGTTCCTCTGTTTTGATTTTTCTCTCCAACTGAGAGCTGATTTGCATAGCATGATTGACCTTGTTTTTCCCTCTGGCAGGGTAGTATCATTTGCTTTTGTTTCTTGAAAACATTGTCAGTCCTTCAAGTGCTGCTGAAGGGCAACATTCACCCACCTCTAAAGCCTTTAGAATCTCAGCTGAAAGACAAGAAGAGCCAGCAAGGGGGCTGCAGGTACTGAAACAATTTGCTGTTGCAGATCTCAGAGTTCCCATAAATTTTACACTATTTTGTATCTAATGGCCCAGTTCCATGAACCAGGACACAGAACCCAACTTTCTACCTGGGTGCTTTGCTCATAATATTGCTTAGGAAAACTTCAAGGTTTTGCAGAAAATACTTAATTATCCATTATGTACTTGTTACTTATCGAATGCTTTTCTGAAATGTGAAACTGACAACAGAAAGCAAATCACTGTAAGGCCTTAGACAGGTGTGTAGATTATGCTTTAAGTTTCTGCTACCTTCCCTCTCCACTATAAGGGATGCCATTTATGGTTGGAAATTACAAAGGGCCACTAAAATATTCTTGAAGTGGTTTTAGAGCCCTGCATGGGAAATAGAGCTGAAACATGTCCTGTATGGCTAGGGGGACAGGGTTAGTTTGGTTGCTTGCCTGAGTTACCTGGTGTTCTCTGCTTGTTTCTAATAGACACCCAAGAACTCCATGTTTAGGCAAAGTTTCTGGTGTAGGAAGTCTGCACATGAAAAAGGTAATACATTGAACATGGTATTCTGTGTTTTCTGTCAATCCCATAGCTTTCAGCCATTGAGTCATGATTTTATTTCCTATGGTTTTAAACTGTCCCATCCTGGCTCTTAAAAGTATTGTTCTCTGATTACACAGTTATTCCTGCTCACATAAGGATTTGTTAGCAGTGAAATGGGCTGGAAAGGTGAATACGTTAGTATGTCAAAACAGCAAATAAAACATTATGTCTGAAAAATCTGCTACCTGTATGTGGCAGCCAGAAGAGGAGAGAAAATGGGAAATAGGTAAAAGGAGAAAAAACCAAAACTAATCTTCAGTCATTTGGGAGAACTTTCTTCTGCCTATCACTGTCCCACCAGTTTCCCAAACAGGTACTTAGCTCAGGAGGAGCTGTGGACCCATGTGCAGAACTGGTGAAAACTGATTCTGAGCTTCTCTGAAAGCCTGTGGTGCTTTTGTGGAAAGGGGCAGTGGCAGGTTGCTGCTGTGAGTCCCACCGTTTGCACAGCCCTGCTGGGACAGAGGTTTGGGCTGGTGGGACAGTCTCCTCTCAGGATCCACCCTGCTTGGCTGCACTATGGGGAAGAACAGTTTGACCAGTCTCTGCTTCTAACTAACTCCCAGTCAATGTTTCCCTTTTGGATCAAGTAGTAGATGAGGAGAAATAGCTCAATAATATTCTCCAAAGTGCCTGCCTTCTACTGAGGCTCCAGTTCCCTCCCAGTATGATGCTGGTTGCCAACAGCTGATGCTGCAGGGAATTCCCTTTTGGGCACAGGGTAAGGAAGGACTGTGCTCAGCCAGGCAGTGCTGGCTCTGAGGACATTTTCCTTCTCACAGGGCAGCAGCATGGGACTGACCACACAAGCCTGAGATGCTGCCCCAAGTAGATGAACACTTTTAGCTTTCTTCCTGAGATTGGACTAGTGAATTGATGGGGATGAAGGGATTTGGGGTGCAGTGCTTGGAATGCCAGGTTTGTTTTCTCTCCTCTGCTCTCATATGTATATACCCTGTAAGATTAATGCTGATTTGTGTTGTTTTCATGCAAGTTGATTGGTGGACTAAGAGGAGAACCTGGAAGAACAGCTAATCTGAGAGTAACAGCTAATTGTAATGCCTGCTCCTATCAAAGTGAGGTCGTAGCTAAAACTGCCCAAAGAACAGCCTAGAGAGTCAGTGCAGTTTCTTCATTCATACTGGCTCTGTGGGGAAGTTTTTTTGAAACTTGTGACTGTGGCATGGTGCTGTCACAGTGTTAGTTTTCCTCTATCTTAATTCAATGATACTGGTCCTATAATAATAATAAAATATTTAATAATATTTCTTCTTTCACATTAAGCTCTGTGTATGTTGTACTGGCCTCTTGCTAGCAATATTTTTCTGGGCACTGATTTCTGATCTTGGAGGTGAACAAGCACAAAATCTGTCCATGGGCAAAGGCACGCCCCAAATAACAGAGTGGTAAGTACAACCAATCCCAGCAGAAAAGGGATGCAGCCACTTGTTTTGTGACTCACAGGTCATGTTAAACTCTGTTTAGCAGCCCCAAGCCCTGCTCTGTATTAAGAATGTTTCATGTGGGATTTTCCAGTTTGTGAGACTCAGGGGTAGATGTGGGAAATGCACAGCTATATGGCAGGGTTTCACCAGCCATTCGCCTGGCAGCCCTTTCCCATGGGTAGGACAGTCCTCTTCCACGTGGCTCTGTGCTCTGGGGTCACTGAGAGCAGTGTGGGCTGGCAGCCAGTCATGTGGGGACTATTCCAAGAGCTGGAAAGTCACTGACAAAGCAAACCCAACCAGCCCACAATGCTGCATGCTCTAGAGCTGAAGCTAAGTAAATCATCATCTCTGTTTGTGTTCTGCCTAAAGTGCAGCATATTTCAGAGGAATGGTGGAAAAGAGGGAGTACCATACACTCCACACACCACCATGTTTTCTGCAGCTGGTACTTTGCCTTTGGGTGCTCCCTGTCCTTTATTCCTTGGAGAATTGGTGCAGTGTGCCCAAGTGCCCAGGCAGCAGGCACAGGAGATCAGCAGCAGGGACTGCATCTTCACATTTTCATGTCAAATCTTGTGATCTTCACAAGGATGTACAACCCAAGGGGCAAAGATGTCCCCATCCTGTTTCTACAGGCCACTATCATAACATGTTCACATGCAGTCCTGTGTCACTGACAGTTCCCTCTTGGCAACAGAGTGCCACTTTTATAAAGCTTTGTAAATCACTCCTGCTCAGTGTAGCCTCTTGACTAGCACAGAATATTTTCACAGCAAGGACCAGACTCTGGGCAAATTTCTTACACTCTGTTGCTAAAATATACGATATTTATGTAAAAGAAGCATTAATTTTCTGCTTTCTCATTGCAGTAAGGAACTGGAGTATGTGAATAAAACTCTCCTTTATGTATTCAAACAGAAGACAGAGTCAGTTGTAGAGATTCATGGTAAAAGGTAGTGATTGTGCACCTGAAGTCCTTGGCTCTGCTCCATCTGCTGCACTCACAGTCCAGGCCCTGTGCTGGCAAACCCTTGCAGTTGTGCATTTCTACACTTCTGGCTCTACCAAGCCAGCCAAGCTGGATGAGGCCTTGAGGGGCTGCCTGCACCACAGCTGCAAATGTTACCTAAACCACCCCAAAGTTCTGCTCTCTCCTCTGCAGGTACCTGCCCACAGAATTGCCATGTTACTGAACCAGAGAAAAATCTTAGAGTGTATGCATGCACTGCTGAAAGAGCAAGGAAAGTCAGGAGGAAGCAATCTGTAGTGACCCCATTTGCTATTTTACTAACTGATACCTGCTCACTTTCAATTTTACACTCCCCTATCTCCCTCTGCAGCCTGTGTGTTCCAGGCTGTGCTAACCAGCACATTCATTTTACAGTGGCAATTGCTGAGCCACTTGTTTTTCATAGCAGAACACTGATGTTTAATTCCTTTAATATAGAAATGTGCTCTATAAACTGTTAACTGTTTGCACATGTGGCTATTAATTGTCTTTAAGCAGCCAGTAAACATATAACCTCAATACAATCACTACCCTTGGTCATGGCAACTGCCTGTGAAGAAAGGCACCTGCTTCCTACTCCCAAAATCAGATGCTGTATAAAATAATGTTGTTGAAATGGTAACACTTTATTATTAGTGCCTCTGTTTGCTGACTCTATACTTCATAAAGTGGTCATGACCTATAGACAGAAAAGTAATTGATTTGGCTTGGTTTATCTACAGGGCCCAGGCAATATTTTATCATTCCACTTTGAAAGCTGGTTTTGAACTCAAGTCATTTATGTAAGTCATTTTCAAGTAAAATCTCTGCTAGTTCTCTTGCTTTTTCCAACTCTGACTGTTACCCTCATTTCACTGAAGTTTTACAATTTAAATATGTGGGTGTTTTTTTAAAC